GCCACTAACACGATCGAAAGAGCGCATAATGCAGACCTCCTTAGGATCATGCTCTGTGCTTTCTCGACGAGAAGAAATATTATGATTGGACATTTCTCCCGATTCGGAGCATAGATCCTCCTCTTTGACAGATCGCATTTCGCTTGCTGCCGTCTCTTCGCTGGTTTTCCTATTTGGCGACATGGGTCTGCAAATTCAAAGGGTAATTTGAAAATTTATCGTATAACGGTATCATACTTACAGTACAACATGTAGATACATGACAAAAAAGGTACAGTAGTTTAAGTGTACAAATCACTTAACTATCGGTTTTGAAACAGTAAAAATTACAAACACACAAAGGTTCACGTTTAAGCATTTGTAGAGAGTTTTTGACATAGTTTTTATATAAAACTCTAGATTTTCCATATTAAAAATTCTATTTATGTATAAGAGAACAGTGATTACATTTTGTAAGTTGAAAATCATTAGTCATTTGCACATTCATATTAATGAATTGTAGTACTAACAGATTGATGCAAAATTGACCGCAAGGTTTTATATTACTTTTACTTCCTTCCTAAATTACTTTACTTTTGTTTCTTTTTTAAATTACTGAATCATCAAAAACATAAGCAGTAACCTTATATTATCGTACCGCCGACGAGGGATTTCCGAAATACCAAGTGAGAAAGTGAGAACATTTGATATAGAAGCAAAAAAAAAGTTTCAGTTTATTTTGAACCTTTTTTCTGTTGTCTAAAGTGTTGCCTCTTTATGTATGATTTGAAAAAAAAGCAATGGGGATTAAAACGATATGGAAAATCAAGCGTTGATAGAAAAGTGAGTTTGTGCAAATTACAATAATTTAATCAGAAATATTCCAGATATTCGTAGTCAGCATGTTGTCTAACATTTGCAAATTTTTCTACTATTTTTCGTTGTTTTTCACGATTATTAATTTTAAAACAAACAACAATCTGCATTTCCCAGCTTGAGCTCAGACCTAAACTGAAGTTTAAGTTAGTTCATAAGTTAGATTTAAGATCGGGGTCTAACAGTCAACAGCTTCTCTCAAGTTTAGGTATCAGCATTTCTGATTGAAAGAATAGTGAAATGATTTTTTGATGGAATTGGGCTGGAGAGGAGGATTGCATAGAACTGTCCAGCAAGAGGGGAAAGGGACGTGATGGGGATTGTCATATGACATTAAGTTTTACTCTCCCTCCAAGCAAAATCATGTAGCACATCGCTTTATAAGA